GTTGAGGAACAGGCCCCCCCCCCCCCCAACAAGCAATAACATGCGATACGCCATAGCCCAGTTCAGCTCCCAGCAGGTCTTCACAACCAACCCCCTGAACCCCAAACCCTACTAGGTTAGAAGTACCCTCGTTATTTTAATGGGGCTTTTAAGCAATTAACTACAACCATATGTACCGTGTTGGTAATCCGGGTTATTAAGTTCCATGATCCTGCAAGGAAACCCGAACCTTGGCTTTGAAGTAACCAGGGAGAAAAACACATACACTTCAATCTCATAATGGCATATAATGGCTCCTTTAAGGAATAGGCGACCCCCCGAAAAGGTTTAAAGTAAGGCACTCCAGAACCCAGTAGCTGGAGTCGTAAGGGGTTCGGGAATCACGTCAGGCCCACGTCTTGCACCTGTACACGGCTTCAACGAGGAACTCTCTAAATCAAAAGCCGCGGGGCTGACCCCTTACTAGGTTCCCCAGTAGTTAGGATTTAGGGGTTTAGGGTTTCAGGAATTCCTCATTTCAAGAAGGAGACCCAGGGAGAGAAGATATGAGCGTGATAGGGGCTTAAATAACTACCAATACGATTTTGGCGGCTCCTTTTTATTTTTTAATATCATATACCCCACAGTCCTTTTCTAATTATTCAGGCCCCAATGTTACCACTGGAGAACCGAGTTTATGGGCTAGCGCAGGTCCCACCATTACCTTTGCTGTGCTCAGTCCGAAGCTCATTGATTCATCTGTCGAAAAAAAAGGGCTTAGGGTTTAGGGAGTAGGGTTGAAGATTTAGGGATGAGAGGGATGGATTCATCCTGAATATGAAACTCGCAACATGGGCATGCAGTTTGAAGGGGGTTACAAAATAACAGCAAAAAACTTACCAACTCGGATAAAGAGTTGCTCAAAACCTCGCCATGTCCACCTTGATTAGGCTGGCAGAAGTACTGCCCTGCGCAGCAGATCCTTCGTTACTGAGTTCACTAGCCCAGAAAAGCTTAAGCTTTCAGCGCTTCAGGGGATAATCGTGTCCCAATAAATGTAACGTACACCCAACCCCTCAACCCTAAACCCTAGACCCGACCCGATCAACTTAAAGGAAACTACAGGTGGGGAGTTTAAGGTATATAGGGCTTCTAGAAGGCTTCTATAAGGTATATAGACCTTCTATAAGGCTCCTATAACAGTAACTACCCACCTGAAAATGTCCTCATCAACCCTACTAAGGATCTGATAGCCGTCGCCACTCGCACAGGCTTGGGAGCAAGGAGCACCTTCTGGAAGGAGATGGCTGTTCCTCATCTCTCCCGCAAATCTACGGGAAATGTAGATATAGAGCCCTAAACCCTAAACCCTAAGGAAATATAGAGATAGAAGCCCCAAACCCTGAACCCTTAGAAAATACAGGTTTAGAGCCCGAAACCCTAAACATTAAGGAAATATGGATATAGAACCCTGAACCCTAAACCCCGCGGACATATGGATATATATATATATATATATATAGAGCCCTAAACCCTAAACCCTAAGGAAACATAGATATAGACATATAGAGCCCTAAACCCTAGACCCGAAGCCCTAAACCCTAAACACGGGTTTGGGGCCAGCGCTGGGGGAATTCGGGGATGAGGCTCCAGGATTGAAGGAATTAGGGCTCGGGCTGAGGGTTTAGGGTTTAGGGTTTAGGGTTCGGGCTGAGGGTTCAGGGCCGCGAGAGCCATAATGTAAGGGCCTTAGCAACTAGAATTGGGGTTTTGGGGCCCACTAGACTAGAATCATAATAGGGTTTTGGGGCCCACTATACTAGAATTATAATAGGGTTTTGGGGCCCGCTATACTATAATTATAATAGGGTTTTTGGGCCCACTATACTATAATCATAATAAGGAACCCCCAAAATAGTATAGGTAAGGATTTAGGCCCCTATATGACCTAAATCATTTAACGGAACCACAAAAATTGAAGGGCTAGGGTTAGGGTTTATGGTTTAGGGTTTAGGGTTTAGGGTAAGGGCTAGGTATGAAAGGGTGTCACGGCACACGCCCTATACAAACACCTTTCAAACCCCAAGAGGCCCTCCTACGAGTTGGGTATTGAAGACGTTTGACAGGTTTAGGGTTTAGGGTTTAGGGTTTAGGGTTTAGGGTTCTCTCAGGGAGTAGAACCCCTATCCTGGATGTAAGGACAATGGAGCCCTAAAACGTTAAACCCGAAAGCCTGAAGCCCAAACCTAAACCCTAAACCCTAAAACCCGGTAGGGCCTGTTGAACCCTATAGAACCTCTTACAACCAAAACCCTTAGTAACTTGGGGCTGAACTAGCTTAGGGTTTAGGGGTAAATATAATCATGCAGAACACCCCAACACCCTATTCTAATTGCGAAGGGCTATGTATTAGTGTAAAACATGTCACCAAAACTAGTCCAGTCATGAAGGCCCCGATATTACTTTTCTTGGGCAGAGCCGAGGATCTTTACATATGTGCTGAATAGCTGGGAACCTGGGCCTCTCGAATCGCAGAGAGGGAAGTCGAACTTGGCCTTCGTCCAACACTTCCTGGGTTGTTCAGGAACCAACCCTAAACCCTAAACCCTAAACCCTAAACCCTAAACCCTAAACCCTCAACCGGACTTTGGGCCTAGGGTTTCGAGGTTGGCTTGTTGTTTAGGTTTGTCGGTTAGGGAGCCAAAGTGTACGGTTCCGGGTTTGGGATTAAAGGTTACGGTTTAGGAGTTTAAGTTTGGGGTTTAGAGCTTGGGCGCTAGGGTAGGATTAAGGGCGGGTGTAGGATTAAGGGCGCTGCCTGGGATGGGGTTACTTTGTAAAAGGGACTCACGTAACAACTATGGCAATTCCAAGCTCTGGTTAACATTTATAAGGGCCTGAACAGTTAGAAAAGGGGTTCGTGTATACGATACTCTATATATACAGTAAAGACGTGTGTTACTACAGTAATGATTATGGCTGCTGTAGGAACTAACAAGGATTTAAGGTGTAGGGTTAATGATGGCTTTCTCCCTTAAACACGCTCTAGACCCTAAACCCCATAACCCTTGTCCCTCTTTTCAAAAACGGAAGTTCCTTTCAGGAGTTCAGAAACGCTGCATGCAGACTAGGGTTTAGGGTTTTACATAACTCTCCGCTCTTCCATGAGCTTCGTATGGAAAAGCCTAAGGTTCAAAAGCTATGACCATAGTGCAGATATATAACTAGGATGTATGATTTAATGATTGCCCAGCTTCCCTTGGGAGGGCATGACGACGAAACCAGCACAAAGTGGATCACGTGAGCAGAAGTCGGCACAGAAGTTGGCCGATGCAACAGGTCCTGCGTAGCTCAGATCTACGGCGCCAAAGTCCTTGTAACCTGGGCTTTGAAGTAACCAGGGAGAAAAAAGTATAGACTGTTATTTCATAATGGCTCCTTTAAGGACCAGGTCCCAGAAAATAAGTATTAAAGTATGGTACTCCAAAGCCCAGTAACAGTTAACTTCTGGCAAATACTTGTAGTCAGGGACAGACGATGGCCCTGCTGGCCAATGCTCTGAAGATGACTCCGCCAGGTCCTGGGGATTCGTGAAGTTGTGCTGCCATAACAACTAATAAGGCCACCGTGTACTTACCATAGATCCCTAATTAGCAAGTTTGCACTTCTCAACAAGCCTAGAGTCTGCTGGCTCTAAAGGCTGCTTTTCCGTCACATAGAGGTCGAAGTGCTTGGTCTCAAATTTGCACATGCCCATGTCGATGAAACCCCGCATCCAGCACTGCTGTTCGGAAGGCATGATGACGAAACCCTCGCACCTGGGGTTCGCGTTGCAATGGTCTGCACACACCTGGGGCTGGAATCCATTCATGCTCGCTGTATGGTAGCACTTCAGGTAGAACTGTTTTCCTTCTACGAACTAGGTTGTGAAAGCTTCACTCATCTTTCTAAACAGTGTCAACTTCTAGTCGATGCACCCCACTTAGCCCTACTTCTTGACCCTTTGTGGGACGAGCTGTCTTCATATTCCTGTGCAAACAACCGTGCAGTCAGCTCTGAGGCCCCTTCAGTAGCCGATATTCTTGAAGAGTTCTGAGAAGCCGCATATACTTAGGGTTTAGGGCGCTTGGAGTTTAGGGTTTAGGGGTTTGGGGTTTAGGGCGTAGGGTTTAGGGTTGAGGAGTCTTCGGCAGCCTGTGCCGACACTTTCCCGACGTAGCCAACGTCCACAGCAGAGGCTGCTCCCTGCACATAGTTCGAACCCAGGCCAGGGTCGTGCCAGCAGTTCGTACCAGGGAAGCGCCGGTAGCCCTGCACGAACTGCCTCGAATCGTGGAAGTCGAGGCATGCAGACGATGTGTATAGGCAGGTGCATGTGTCTGCAATATATGTATGCATGCCTGCATGTATGTGCTTATACATGCATAATGTACATAGAGCACTATGTATATATATATATATATGTATACACACACGCTTGTATTGCTCGTGTCTTCAAGATTGTGCTCGCTCTCTCTCTCTCTCTCTCTCTTTCTCTGCTTTACAAAACCGTTCTTGCGCACATCCTCTGCCTTAGTTATGCGGTAAATTCTAGAAGTCAAGCCGGTTCGAAACAACTACGCCTAACTTCACATCTCAGATTGAAACCTGCCATGTGTTCCCAGAGAACCCAATACCCCTTAATTAAGGAATGTACCTTAAATTATAGGGGCCTTAAGATTATGGTTCAAGGTATATTCCTTAATTAAGGGGTATTGGGTTATCTGGGCTCTGCAGTTCAATGTGAAATGGTCAGTTCGACACGGTTCGCCAGTTGTACACCATCGACTCGGACTGATAGAATGAACTTATGCTTGCCGTATTGAACGTGCTTTCTGCCGCTGTGCCTCAATGTACGAATTTTCGTGCACAAGTAGGCAAACATACAGGTCACTATAGGGGGTGTAGGCAGGTTTATATACCAACACCCCGCGTAATTTCACGGCTTTACACTGCGGTTCAAAAACTTTGGTTTCTCAACGTTTCTCATAAATGCTCAAGAGGCAGCGATTGCTCACGTCCATCTTCGGAATCTGCTGGCTGCGCCGACTGTGCTGTTCTGGCGCCGCGGATGGACACCGATGTGGTGACGGAGCCATCTGTACTCCCTAAGCGAAGGAGCCCCAGAATCACAACATGAGAAAGGGACCTTGCCATGGCGGAGTAAGACCAGAGAGCGAACTACTTCCACAGGGTCTGCTGGTGGTTCAGCCTGGCCATCCCAACGCACAGAGCCACATGGCAAGAAGGATATCTTTCATGGAAGTTTGATACGTGTTTTATAGTGTACCTGTAAGGATCCCAGAACTTGTCGAAGCCTTCTAGAACCCCTTAAAGAAACCCTGTTTACTAAATATCCCTTTCCCAAAATCCAAATCTCCTACAAATCCCAAAGCCCTAGCCCTAAGCCCACCAACCCTAAACCCTAAACTCTAAGCCCTAAACTAGTGAACTTCAAGGCAAACAGCTCCCTATCCCAAAAACACTCAAGACCGTAAACCCAGAACCTCCACAATCCTGCTTGGAGGATCTTGGCACTTAGGAAACAAGGGTATAAGTAGGGTCGCGTATGCCTTATGATCCACCCCCCTGGGGTTTAGGGTTTAGGGTTTATAGGTTTTAGGGTTTAGGGTTTAGGGTTTAGGAACAGCGAGCGGATCATAAGCCATACGCCAGCCTATAAGTACCCCACTTGTGGTTATAAGTAATTGCAGTTGTAGTTACCTTGCTTAAGACCATAGTTACCAATTGCCATGACCCTCCAAGTATGCGAAATCCACCAACGCAGTGGCCTGCATGACTAGTACTAGTATTTCTTTGGGCTCCCTATGTTTAAGTATACCTAGTAAAACCGTATACAGCCCTTATAAAGCCCTATAGCCTATCGGACCACTTCAACAAAAAAGACAAACACAAACCATGAACACATGTGGGTAGTTCTCTAAATTAGGGGTCTCTTTCTGAATCCCCAATAAAGTACGGCACCCTTCGAAAAAGGACTCTAAAAGGCACCCCCCCAATTTATAGAACTACCCATGTTTCAAACCAAACCCAGCCTCGGGTCACTTGCAAAGCCAGAGCCATTCTCAGACTTTCTAAGGTAGAACCCATGGGCCCCTAGTATGGGCCCTTGACCCTGGGACCCTAATATACCTACTATATACCCTATATATACCCTTAAGGGACCCTAGAATCCCCTAAGGGCCCATGTTAGGGGCCCATGGGTTCAACCTTGGGGACTTGAGGCCGCCCCAAACCCCATGACCCTATGACCCTGAGGGTTTTGGGTTTACCTTAATAACCTAGCTTTTTAGGGACTTATAAAAACAAAATAATAAGGAACCCTAAAAAGGTAGGTTATTTGGGGTTAAAATAAACCCCTCGCCCCTAAACCCTAAACTCCCTAAACCCTAAGCCCGTATGCCCAGTACCCTAAACCCTAAAACCCCTAAGCCCTAAAACCCCTAAACTCTTAACCCTAAACCCTACAACCCTATACCCTAAAACCCCTAAATCCTTAACCCTAAACATTTCAACCCTATACCCTAAACCCCTGATCCTTAACCCTAAACACTTCAACTCTATACACTAAACACCTAAATCCTATACCCCAAACACTTCAACCCTATACCCTAAACACCTAAACCCTCAACCCTACACACTTCAACTCTATACCCTAAACACCTAAATCCTTAACCCTAAACCCTAAACCCTGAACCCTAAACCCTAAACCCTACATTTACTTCTCTGACGGCCTGCCGATGGCAAACTTTGGACCTGAGACCATGGGTCTTTCCCTAAACCCTAAACCCTAAACCCTAAACCCTTTACTTAGGAGGATCCTGGGACTTATACGGTGGATGATGGAAACCCAAGGGTTTAGGGTTTAGGGTTTAGGGGTTTAGGGTTTAGGGTTTAGGGTTTAGGGTTTTAGGGGTTTGGGGTTTAGGGTTTTAAGGGTTAAGGGTTAAGGGTTAAGGGTTTAGGGTTTAAGGGTTTTGGGTTTAAGGTTTAAGGATGCTAAAGATGACTCGCAGTTCGTCCGCTGTTTTGTCCGATCGCTCCCTCTCTCCGTCTCCA